TCTTCAAAGAAGAAATTGCATGAAGTCACATGAGACTACAGGTAATGTTCCTCCTCCCCTTTTAAAACTGAAATGCTACTTCAGGAGCTATGGATGCTTTGGCACCAAGTGAGTTGCATCTCTTTGCTAAGGAAGGAGCTTACTGTCTACTAGGTCTTGCAGATTTTAAGACCATCATGATGATTCCCATGAAGGTGGGAAGAAAGGCAGAAAATGGCAGTTTGCAAAAAGAAAGATCAACCATCAGTCAGCTTGGAATGATTTATGAGAAGCCAGAAATGGTTGCGGGGGGGGGGGGGGGAGAGAATCCATGGCTGTGAAATGTAGAAAAAAATTGGACTGGTAAGGTATAAGCAACCCAGAAAGAGCAATGTTGGTTCATTGAATTAAAAGATGATTCTACTTTGGACATTTGGTGAGGAGTCATGGTAAATTAGATGCCTCTGAGGGAGTGGATATGGTGTTGGGGTGAGATTGATGGCCAATTGACATTTCCTGGCCAACCAAATCTCTCTGGATAAATGAGATTGTGAGATCCACACTTGCATTCCAGACAGCTGCTCCTTGTGAGTAAACTGTAGGAGCTGAAGTTTCTGTTGCCAATTTGTGAGTTGAATGGCTGGGATTCAAGCTCCGTATAAATCATAGCCTTAAGGACACAGCATGCTGCTAAGCCTAATTTTTAATCACTTTTGGAAGTAGCTTATTAATTGATTTTCAACTATAAAGAACATCTTAATTAACAGGGTTCATAAGATGAACTTTCTCTTAATCCTTAACAAAAAAAAAGATAAGTTGAACTACCCAATTTTTTGAAAATAAGCAACAAAAGGGTGATCAGGCAGTTCACTCAACACCCGAAATGGTAAAAAAGAAAATAAGAGAAGTAAAAGGATGACTAGCATTCATTTTAGAAAATTATAAATGGACTAGAGGTCCAAATGGATTTGAAATAAGAGTTTGATTTGATCATGGGAATTCTTTCCATGGAAAAAATATGTTTTGAATTCTTGGAAGAAAGCACAATAGCAAGGGAATTTGAACACAGGACACTAGAGGGAACCTAAAGGACTAAATATTATAATTAAAGCACAAGAACACTTAAATTTGACTAAGACAGAATGGAACCAAATATTTTAACATTGGACATATTTAAGGATATTTTTGAACAATGGACTCAGAAATTATTCCTTGGAATGTCTGCTATTATAGATCTATGAGAACATGTTGAACTGGCAAGACCGGCACTGATTTGAAAGTGGATTTAAAATAACAAAATGCAAGAATGATATGGGAAAAAATGGCCTCTTCATTTTGGCTTTCTTTTTGTAAAACACACAATAATATATTGTAATATGTCATGTGTTGTTGTTCATCTGAGATTGTATTTACCTGCTTTTAATAACTGCTACAGACTGGATGATTTTTTTATGTCCTGATATGTAAAACCAAAAAATTCAAAGAGGGTGCACTTTCTTTTTCACGTGACAGGATGATCTCCTATCAAAGTTGCAAGATAGTTCAAGACATTTGTTTTGGTATTCCGCTTGTATTATTTTTACAAATAACCCAAAGCTGTGAACACAACCCAACACACCCTTTTCCTCTTAATTTCCCTACAACCACCAATCTGCAAGGGAAGAGAATAGTTCAGTTACACAACTGGCCCAACTGGCTCCTATGGCTAAGGCAAGACTACAATCATGGTCTTCCACTTTCCAGTCTGATACCTTAACCACTAGAACGAACTACTTCTATCCCACATATCACTGGGAAAATATAATTAAGGAGCCGAGGTGACGCAGTGGTTAAATGCAGCACTGCAGGCTACTTCAGCTGACTGCAGTTCAGCAGTTTGGCTTTTC